TTGGGCCCAAGATGTGCCCAACATAGACCACATGGGCTCAACTTGGCCCAACCTAGGGCCAAGATGCGCGCCAGATAGCTCCACCAAGTCTCAGAGAGAGAGAGAGAGAGAGAGAGAGAGGGAGAGGAGAGACACAGAGAGACAAAGAGAGAGAGAGAGAGAGAGAGACAGGACCCAGACCTGCACATACCCAAACCCAAATAGGCCGGCGCCCGGCTGTCAGGCGTAAGCCTCATAATCCGGGCGCCGGCCACGGGCCCGTGTCCTTGCCGGAGGCCTTCGGTTGGTAACCGAAGGTTATATACGCTCGCCGCCCCTGCCGCCGACCCTTTTGTTGAGCCGCGTGTATACCCCCGGTCGACCCCCGCCCGAATCCGGTCGACAGATTTTCCATGGCATTTAAATTTTATCTACCAGCATGATTGTGCATGATGTGGAAAACATCGTTTTTTTACAGTGTTTCGTGGCCTTCGGCGGAGACGACTTGCGCCTAACAGGGCGCCGGTGGTGTCGGTTATGCGCGCCGCGCGGACAGGCTTAATCGACATTTCGTGGGTGTTGGGCACATAAGTTGCCTAACATATCCCTAACATAGGCCCAAGATAGCCAACATATCTCCAACATATGCCCAACATAGCCTCCAAGATGGCTCAACATAGGGCCAACATGGGGCCAACATACGCCAACATAGGCCCAACATAGGCCCAACCTAGGCCTAACATAGGCCAACCTAGGCCCAACATAGGCTCAACTTGGGCCCAAGATGTGCCCAACATAGACCACATGGGCGCAACTTGGCCCAACCTAGGGCCAAGATGCGCACCAGATAGCTTAACTTTGCTCAATATAGGCCCCACCAAGTCTCAAAGAGAGAGAGAGAGAGAGACAGAGAGAGAGAGAGAGGGAGAGAGAGAGAGAGGGAGGGAGAGAGACAGAGAGACAGAGAGAGAGCGGGGAACCAGCCCTGCACATACCCAAACCCAAATAGGCCGGCGCCCGGCTGTCAGGCGTAAGCCTCATAAATATATATAATATATACAGTATATAATAGTATATATATATATATATTGTTTCTCGTGCTCTGGTCTCTACCACCGGGAAAAGAAGTATGTTCAGCAAGGCGTGCGTAGTACTAAGAGGTTCTTGGTGTGGTGGCTGTGTCAAACTCATGGGGCCCAAACTTCTGCAAACGAACTTCAACTCTGATGGAGAAGCAGTTGGCCGGTCCTGAACTCGTGACAATTCGTGAACTCGACACAAAGTTGATGCAGAACCAACTGCTTTTCAGAGCAGTCCAGCGGCTGCACTTCGGATAGCATCTGGTGTCTCCAGGCCATGTCATTTTGAACCTGACTCTTGCCAAAAATATGTGCTTGACACCTTTGTCTTCAATGTCTTCAATCGTTAGTTTTAGAAAGCTTGAGCACTATATAATCATTGCCTCAAATGCCGAGCTGGGTGCATCTGTCATGGGGGAGAAACAGCCCCAAGACTCAGCAAGTCGCTCGAGCCTCTACTTCGCGAACGAATCTGGCAGAAGTTGAGTTGTCCAAAGGGACACATAGCAGATTGCATCAAATTGCAGTACAATGCCATTATAATTGGTATACAGTATATATAGCTCTTGAAAGTAACACGTGGTCTGTCCTTGGGAGCTCAGTCTCCCCCTTTCTTTTCCGCTGGAGTGGCTACGCTGCCAATTGCCTTCGTAGCTCTATCTATGCTCGCTGCGGAGCTAGTAGCCAGAGGTTTTAGCCTCTGATAGACTGCGGGACTGCAAAAGACAGGCAACAAACTGTAAATCTTGTGGACAGAGGGTGCACTATTGTGCACTAGCGTAAGACTAACGTGGCTCCCGCAGAACTCCTTGTGCCTTTTCCGCCGATCTATGTACAAAGAACCTTTTCTGCTCACAGAACTTTTGCTTCGTTTTTCAGCTTGTCGATCAACTCATCAACACTGGCAACCTTTTAGCGCGGCAGCGCATCAAGTCAGTTGGTCGGGAAATTGATTGTGCTTGAATCCTTGCAACTTTGTTGAAACACCACGTCTTCATTCGCAATGATCAGGGCAAATTAGCGCATCTCAGAGCAAATTCGTGTTAGGGAGCCCAACCTTTACGCCACCTGCTCGTGCAGGAGGCTCTTCAACTTTGATGACCTAGCCAATTTGGCAATGCATGCTTCAGGCACGTTCTCAAATGACCCTGCAGAACGAATCATTGTCAGTAGTGAAAGATGGTTCAAGATGTTTGAAAAAGAAGCTATTTACTTGTCTCTTGGTACCGATCTTGGTGAAAAGTGAAGTCATGCGTAAGAGTGACTGAATCATCAAGGCCTGCAATCGGGGTGCGAGGTCAATGCCAAATGAGTCGGCATCAACAACCTGCAATCGAGCAATCACGCCTGTCACCGAAACCCTTGCTGCTTAGTTTGAAAGCTGGGGTCAAACTTGACCGATAATGCAGCAAATCTCAATCCCATCAGTCCCGTACATCGAGCTCGGCAAAGGCAAACAACATCAAACAACTCTGGCCTTGGCCCTGATTCACAATCACACCATGACCCTCCCACGTTCGCAAGCATGGCATTTTGCCAAGTATTCTACACAGAGTCTGCTCCTGGACATCTTCCCGTAGATGTCACTAAACAAGGTGTCCTTTGCACCTCTAACCAGAAAGTCATCGTCGCCTCCCACTCGGCCTCTGCGATAGATCCTCTTCTTCCTGGGGTCTCTATAATCACCGACGATGAGGAGCACTTCGCCAAGTTCTGCTTGGAGCCCAAAGCTGCTGACCCAGCTATCTAGCCTGTAGAGGTGCAGCTCAATTAAGCAGCCTTGGCCCAGCTTCGCAAACAAACAGGTTACAGGATGTCCACACGTACTTGAGGTTTGCAGCAAAAAAAATGGGTGCAATGTTGTCTATTTGATTGGAGTCAGTTTCAAAGCAAATTGAATTATACTACTTTGAACGAAGAAACAGCACACTGTTGAGGCTAGCGACTACTTGCAGTCATGAAGATGGCGTTTGGTGCCCACCCGCCATTGGGTGCCAAAACCAGTTGGACAGAGGAAAAAAGCTGCGCTTGCAGGGCCAGTGTTGCTGGCATATCGTCCAAAATGTTAACTTGAAGATCCTCCCGAAAGAGAGGCAAAAGCTTTTCGGGCTCCAGAATACGGCGCCACTGTGACTGCGCCCTGCTATAAATGAGTCCAGTCTTTGAAGGTGCAGAGGGCTGAGGGTGCCCAAGGACTGCTGACCAAATTATAGGCTTTGCTTCGTGCAGAAGTGCTAAGGGCTTCAGACTATAGTCGCAGCATGCCACCGAGCTCATCAAATGCAGCTGACCTCTTAGTCTTTAACACACGCTTGCCGTTAAATATCGAACACGGACATGAAAGATACAGGCGATGAAGTGAGACACATGTCCCATCTGTGTTCTGCAAGAGTGCGCTAAAGCTTTGACGTGTAGCAAAGAGAAATGATATGATTCGATATGAATGAATGACACATCATATGACAGTCATGCAAGAGCTGGTATCTGGTGATCTCATGCAAGAGAATGCAAAAGATTTGCCCGGGCATCATTGCAGTTGAAGTTGGATGATCTCTCTCTCTCTCTCACACAATCTCCTGATGATCCAACTGATGCAGGATGTCGATAGGTGAAATCCGTTAGTTGAAGAACAAAACATAGCAAAAAACAACTACTACTTTAACATAGATGAAGCTCAGTGGCCATGAGACAAACAGGACAATTAACACGTGAGTGGAACATTGGAAGGTCCCTAAAGAGTTGAACGGGAGCGTGGATCCCTGATCCAGGATGAAACGTTGTGTAGAACCACTTCTTGAATTCGCGTGCCTGTGATGCAATATTCCTTTTCCTTGGACAAATTGTACACCTTCCACTTCTTTTCCCTGGAGACTTTCCAGAAGAGGTCGTCGGTCCAATGGGAAGAGGGACAGTTTGGATTGCGGTCTGCTTCTCTTTGAACCAGGATGGCCGAGTTTGATTGAGCGTAGACCGAGGTCCACCAGTAGAGCGGCCAGAAGTTTTGGTGAAAGTCGTGGTTTATGTTGCCAGCACAGCGCAGTGGGAAAAAAGCAACATGGTCATGCGCAAGAGTTTCAAACGCTGTAAAGCTTCCCCATGGCTTGCAACAACCTCCCTTGCATTTCCTCTTGCCAAGAATGGGCTTTTCTAGGCAGGCATGCTGGCACGCATGTGTGCAAGCCACATAGCGTTTGTCCAGCGGGTGAAGCCCCAACTCTGAAACAGTTACGTTGGAAGTTGGCTTCGTTGGAAGTTGGAAGTTGGTTTCGACAGAAGCCTGCGAAGGTGACGAAGTTGGCTTCAAAGCCATGGGAGTGCAAGGAATCTTTGCATCGTCCCTCGAGAAATCAGGTGGTCTGCACTTCCTTGGGTCGAAGCCATTTCGCTTCTTTCGGCCCTCACACGGTTTGTCCTGCTTGAACCATGATGTGTAGTCCTCCATGGCAAGTCGAAGGCGTTCACGAAAAGCAGAACCATCCGCTGTGGTGTCAAGACCAGCTATTTCGCCCACAAAGTCTGAGAAGTTATAGCCTTGAGCGTTGAGTCAGTATCTGGCTTAGCTTACGATCTTTCTATAATTCTAGATTCAAGTTATTCAAGGCCAAAATCAATCCTGCGCAGGAACTAGGCAGCTATGCCAGCTATGCAAAAGGATGTATATAAAAGGAATCAATCTCGAACCCGAGGGAATTGAATTGATTTCCCAGCATACCAAATCACAGCAACGTGTTGTTCTACAGCCCAGCAGCTGCAACTGAAGCGACCATGATCATCCAAAGCATAGGCATGTGGAATGCCGTCCAGTGCGGAGTATTTGGTTAAAGCATGAAGAATTATTCCTTGATGCTGCAAAGTTGCAGCAAACGGCGGAAAACTTCCGCCACCTCCTAGGATGAGGACATCCGAGAGCGATATGTGATCGAGATCATGCATAAGTGCAGCGGATGCATCTCGCTGATTGATCAGGAATCCAGCACTAGAAAGCCGCAACATGCAGTTGAATTCGGCATCCCTCTGATCAACCTGTCCCACGATCAGGATTTTGGTGTTGTCCTCATTTATCCATGGTAGTGCCTCCGACAAGTCCCGCAAAGCATTCAGGTACAGCCACACAGGGCAAGCGTCCGGTCGATCTCCTCTCCGCAAGTGGAAGGCAATTCGCAGCCTTCTTTTCGTCTCTGAAGTCATTCCCCATGCATCTGGATTTCTGTGCTTTGCAATACGCACTGCATGATATTGACTCCGCATCCACTTCCATGTCATCTCATGCGTGACCGTTTGCTCTCGAGGGCACTTGACGTTGTACACCTTGTTCTTGTCGCGAGGATTGATGTCAAGCAGCCATGCACTTGAACCTCAGTCTTTACAGCTTGGCCTCACAATATCTATGAGGACACCCAACATCTGCAGCAAAAGGCTGCTGAATCTAAAGGATAGAAAACTAGAGAGCAAAAAAAACTGCCTATGGCCTATGAACAAAACTCAACAACTACAATGTTACAAACAGCAAGGAACGTAGCAACGGCCTGCCAAGCTTGTGACCAAGGGAAAAGTGTGAGGAGGTGTGATAATGCAATCGAGGTGAGGATGCTTTCACACCTCAGTGGGACCACACTAGGACTCCAGAATGTAGTAGCTTCTTGTTACTAGTAGCAATGGCCTCCATCCTACCAGCAATGGCCTCAACCAAAATAGCGATGGCCTCCATCCTACTAGCGATGGCCTCCAACCTATATACTGTAATAGCGATGGCCTCCACGCTAGTAGCTTCTTGGATGTGTATAGTGGAAAAAATGTGCAACGTTTTACCTCCCATGAAAATACCAAGCATTAGAATACCTTGGTTGACCTACCGACGATACTTGCGCACTGTTCGAGACGCTTCCTCCAGCCCTCCAGCTATGCCCGTTACTGAGGAGTTTGGTACATCACCACTGCACATATCAAATATCATCAAATATCACAGCACAAACAACAACCCATCTATGTAATTACGTGTGAAACCGAAACTCCGCGGATGGCATACAAAGATCACATGCACGAAAGGACAGCAAATGGATAAGCAACTTGCGAAACAAGATAGGACATATCTGTACCAAAAATGCAACAAGAATGAATTGCTGAATCCGAAGATATCAGTCAAGCACCTAATTACGGACATGAGGCACGGGTACAAGATTTAAGTCCTGATTCTTCAAGTAAGCCTTTCGTATGTTTCGGCGATAAAGAAAATATTGTTCATATGTGAACGCTAAAGACTCAGGAGGATGATACATTGGCAGCACAAACTCCACTAACTAGACGACGAATGGCCCGAAAGCATTTTTCACCACGTGTGAAGTTAGAGTGTGAGTTGTGTGTTAAGTGTTCAGTGTGAAGTGTTAAGTCTAGTGTGTGGGTCTCTGTGTGTGTGTATCTATGTCTGTGTGTGTGTGTCAAACCCTGTCCCTAAGGGTCTTTTCCACGATCCCACGTTTCCATGCAGGGGGATGGAGAGGACATGTGAGGCTCCATCCAACGAAGCTCCTCACATGATCCTAGGATATCGGCAAGGACGCTTGCCGACGTACCTGCAATCAACTGTTGCCCACGCAGTCCACTCCTTTGGTTTGTTTCATCAACCTACACCTGCTTCTGCTACCCAACCATCCAATCAACCGTCACCACAGCCGATTGCAGCGCAATGGGACCCCCACCAAGCGGTTTGGCAGCCGTTTTCTGCCTTCCCACCAGTTGTACAACCTGGCCATGTCCACCCGGCCAAAGCATCAGCTCCTGTGGAACCCTCTCAACTTACAGCATCACCTTCGCCTCTCACTGCTCCGCCAACTGTTCCACAGTCACCTGTCTCTACAGCACCCTCTGCACCTGACGCAAGTCACACAGCAGTTACAACTGAGCAAACATCCTCAGCCACCCGCCATCCACCTAACACTCCTCCACCCTCCACTCCTGCGGGATCAGTTCACTCTGATACAGTCAACAACACACAACCTACTGATCCAGCACCATCTCACCACAACGCTTCGGCATCGCAACCGCAACCACCATAGCCACCCAAGCACCACCGCCGCCGCGAGCACGGCCGCCGCCATCGCCGCCGCCGACATCACAGGCACCACACCAGAGGCAGGCGTACACACCGCCAACCACGAACCACACACCAACATCGCTCTTCACGGCATCATCGATCACGGCCCCCTTCAACCTCCTATTATTCTCAGCCCATCACCTTCACGCAGCCGTTCCAGACAACCCATTTCATTCTCCCCACACCGACTCACTTCAACAGGATGCTGCTTCCAACCAGTCACAAACCAGCTATCCTACCATCCCGGCTCTTCGAAGGGTCGCCAACCCTTGGCGACCCCCGCCGCACTTTCTGCAGAAAACTCCACAAGAGCAATTGGAGCTTTGGCTAGATTACCATGCCGATCAACTTGACACACCCAACAAGCCCCAACACACCTACGTCGCCCGTCTGCTGCTGGACAGTGGCTTCACCTACAAAGACATTTGCGACTACCGCCAACTCACCCATATCAAATGGAACGACACCACCAACAGCCATGACGTTTTCCAATTCAACTGCATTTCCATTCCCTGCCTGGCGCAGAAGGCAAGTCGCCGATTTCCACCGCCAGCCACACGAGCTACATCCACCTCACCAGAGCTGGTCCACATCAATGCCAGCCACACCGGCCCAGCGGGCAACATCACCAACATTCTTCAACAGGGCCGTTTTCTTCCCAGCGCCCTCCACTTTCCTAACAACCCAGGCTTCTTCGCGCAAGGAGTTCGCATCGCTCAGCAGCTACAGCACGACAACGCCGAGCAAGCTCGCATCCTCCACAATTCTTGGAACTTTGCCAAGAACACCCATTCCATCCTTGTCACCCTGGTACAAGGCACCAAATTCACCAGTGGTGGTGAAGAACAGGCTATGAACCTTCTTCTACAGCACCATGGCGCAGTCTTTCATGCCAAAGGCCGCAGCTGGGTCATTCACCCAGAGAACGCTATGGTCAAGGGCCTCGCATGGTCCGTCAATGCAACGCCAACAGCAACCTGAACATCCACTGCAACACCCTTTCACTACAACTGGCCACCTTTTCACCTGTTTCACACCACAGCACATACCACTCGCTCTGCGAAAAATCCGAGTCCTGCCAGAGTCAGCGTTTCCGCTACGAATTCAGACCATGCGCGCAGACTGCAAGAGTTTCCAAGAGTATGCAGGTTCTCAGGATGTGTTTTTTTTTCGGCTCTGTTGATTCCCGAAGTTTCGCTTTTTGAGTGTTCACATGCTGCATGTGATGAGAACAACCTGTCTCGCTTGCGTTTTTCCCGCGCATGTTTTGTTGGAACCTTGTGATTGAGATTTTTGACATTTCCATGATGCCTATCAGACGGCACAATCGCATTCCCACAAAATTCGCGCTCGATAATTCATTTGCGTGGCCCAGCTGACCCACTCATGCTGCTTTCGGCGCCGCACTACACCAGCCGCGCTGCCTAGCTGCTGTCAACGTCAGCCTCTCTGCACAGCCTTCAAAGCTATGAACAACAGCCCAGAAACGTCAATTTGATCCACCGCACAACCATTGCTCTTACACAACTCCACCGCCTTCTCCAACAAGCAACAGACATCCTGGCTGACCTTCACAGCCTTTACCTGCTCCACACTGGACAGGTTGACAATCATTTCCAACGTTCTTTTCCTCCTCTCCCGGCCCCGGCACCTCCCTCTTCGATTCAGCTCCAGCAAACCCTCGTCCTCCAGCTCCACTCGAACCATCAGCATCTCTTGACACATCTTCCCCTTCTCCTACACCACAGCGACCACAACCCAAGAAACGACGAGAAACAGCACCACCACTTAACTCCCAAGCGGATTGGGACGCTTGGGACGGCGACGCTGATTGCCGTCTAGTCGAGTTGAAGACAGATCTCCACCTCCGCCCCAACTGGAACTACGTTGCCCGACGGGTCGGTTTCTCCATTGAACAGTGCAAGGCCCGCTGGCAGGAACTTCAAGATCTGCAACGTCTTCAAGAAGCCTCTACACTCTACACAATCTCATCCTTCTCCGCGCCACTCTCCAATCGCATCACCAGCTATCTCCCCTACTCCTACATCACCAGCACACACACACACACCACCAGCAGTTTCTCCTCCACCACTTTCTGAAGCAGACTTCTCACCTCCCCTCCACCACATCACACTCCACCTTCTGCTGCTGCGGCGTCTCCAGCGGCGGCTGTGCGACCGATCAGTGAGGACAGGCATCCAGAATCGGCAGACGACCAATTTCTGGGCAGCTATTTCCTTTACGTTTCACTCAAGCTCCTCTCGGAGCGCTGCCGGAAACAGCAGTTTGCCTCGTTGATTGTGGCAATCTTTCATGGTTTTTCATGTTTCGAACTTTGGTTTTGATTCGATTCTGAACATTTCATCCACTTGAACTTCAGCCAGATTTGATTTGTTTTTCTTTCTCCTTACCGCTTTACTGATGGTACTAGCCCTGTGCCCTTGAACTCGAACTTTTCTATTCTATTCGACTACCTGTGCCGCCGACAAACATGGCCTCCGACCGTTCTGCAGCTGCTGATGATACCACTCACCGAAACTCACCACCTCAGCCTCGCTCACAATCTACACCCACAGCAGCTTTCCCACAACAAGGTCACACTGCGACCTCTACACGCTTAGCCCGGCAATCCTCCACTTCACCTCGAGCCGTCTATCACTCACCAACCTGAACTACTTCTTCTCAGCTGGATGTTCGACACCCTCTTCACGCTGGTCACCCGCATTTTGGATCACCCGATTGCAGAAGGACCCATACCGGATCCAAGCCTGTTCGTTGACAACAACGCATACCAGCTCTTCCACCAGTTCCACCGCAGCCTTGTCAGCCTGGGCCGAGACACCCTGAGCCCAATGCGAGCTCGACGTTTACTCCAATTTATACCAGGTTTTGCGGGCCTACCAGGACAATACCGCATGGATCCCACAGCTTACTTTCCGCCACACACTACGGATTTCCTCTCCACCGCTCCCACCATCCCTCCGCAATCTCCAGCACGCTCTCACCGACACTCTCGCCTTCCTCCTCCTTCTTCCTTCTACACAGCACCTCCCTCAGCCAGAGAACGTTCACGTTCAAGAGACAGACATAACCATCTGCAGTTGCGCAGCCGGCCGCAGCGGATCAGAACGAACTTGACCTTGCTAGAGACAGCCACTACCACGAGGCCACCTCGTTTTCTTGATTCCGTTTCACCCCATTCTCTTCGGCGCGCCAACGGAAAACTTGCATTTCACCTTGCTCTGTTTGAGTCTGACTCAAACAGAGAGTCTTTTGTAGTTCCATATCCATCGTTCTTTGCGACCTGGAAACGCCAGACGTGGATCATTTCCGTTCAGGTTCCTAATCTTTCAGCAGCTCAGGTGCCTCAAGTTATATCAGTGATCCATCCCCTTGTTGGCTAGCTTTGTCATGGCCACAGATCAATCTGGCTCCTCACCTGCATCCAGTTCACCAATGACGCTGGAGCCTTCATCGACAGCACCACCGGCTGCCACACCCAACTACC